GAAAAAGCTGAAGAAGTTCATCATCATCAAACCAGCATTACAAGAAATGTTAAAGGAACTTCTTTAAGAAGAAGAAGAAGAAATCAAATATATAAATAAGAAAATATTGCTAAGAGAAAAATCTCTGACTGACAAAAGCAAACACATAATAAAAGCCAGTGGATCAACCAACTACAAAGTTAGCACATGCCTGCGTTGCAGGCCAGGTCCCCTGTTGGGGGTACGTGAGAGCAACAATCGATATTTCTCTCGCACATCAATGTTTCTCTCCTTCCCTTTCTCCCTCCTGCCCTCTCCCTCTAAAAGTACAATAACTAAAAATTTTTTAAAAAAAGAAGTACAAATTGGCAGTTACAAAAAGGGGATGTAAAGTACAGCTTGGGAAATATAGTCAAAATATGGTAATAACTTTACATGGTGTCAGATGGGTACAAGACTTACCAGGAAAATACTTTGTAAGTTGTATAAATGTCTAACCACTATGCTGTACACCTGAAGCTAATATAATATTGAATGTCCATTGGAATTAAAAAAATTTTTTAAATAAGAAAACTTTCTCAGAAATGAAAGCCAAATAAGGAAAAACACAGAGTACTTACAGAGATACCTTAAAAGAAATATAAATTGTAAAGGGGGAAATACTTTTTAATAAAAAAAAAAAGATTTAAAAATACATGTAGAGAAGATGGGTAAAGAAAATCAAACGTACACTTAATAGGAGTCAGAATAAATAACAGGAACAGAATAAATAATAAAAACTATAATTCAAGAAAACTTATCTGATTAAAAAAACACAACAACACTATATTGAAAGCATACTCCACTGTAAGGGGAAAATCAGTTTAGAATAGCCAACAGAGCCATATTCTAATAAAATAATTGGATTTAAATTAAAAATTAATAACTAGGTATCTAGGTAGAAAGACTAAGTCTCTTATAGGAGGAAGAAAATCAGATTGGGATCAGATTTTTCAACACCAATGCTTTATGCCAGAGCCAATGGAGCGTTATAATCACACATTCAAGGAAAGAAAATGTGAACAAAGGATTTTCTATACAGCTAAACTGACCTTCACCTGCAAGGCCCACAGACTCTTATGTAAGAACTCAGTGAATATTTCCCCCCACAAACACTTCCTGAGGAATCTAACAAAAAACCAACCAACCAACCAACAAACAAACAAACTTAAGACAACCAAAATAACTGGAAAGACTTTGGCATAAGAGTTGGAATAAGATTTTAATATATATTGAAATGTAGAATTAAGACTAAAAATGATGGCTATAATAAAAACAGTATAGCAATACAATGGCTACTGTTCTGAAATATAGTTTATATGTGTGTGTAGATATATATGCTATTATATATGCTCTTTGGCTTTAATAATAAAGTATTAATAAAAGTAAACTTGCCTGTGTTATTGCACATAAAATTGGATGTTATGAATGTGTTAATTGAACCAATGAAAATTTTCCTTTTAATGACTGTGTAGACAGGAAACCCATCTGGCAGAAAAGGAAAAGAATAATAGAAACAGCTGAAACTATGATGAGTGGTGAGGTTGTGTGAATATAAAAGGAGGGTGGGGTGAGAACGGATAGGCAATATCAAAAATAGAATAAGCTCATTTATTGCCTGATTGATATTAACTGAGAGTAGAAAGATATTCCTTCAAATCCTATGCTGGGAGAGAGGAAGAACAGGAGGGAGAAGAGGTTATTAGATAGTTTCAGCATTATTCATAGCAGGAATTGTATCGGTCAGGGCTCTCAGAGAAACAGAACCAATAGGATCTACATTTAGGGAAAGACTTTTATTTTGAGGAATTGTCTCATGTAATTGTGGAGTCTGGCAAGTTCAAAATCTGTGTGGTAGACCAGCAGGCTGGAAACTCAGGCAGTATTTCTATTTTTTTCTTTTAAATAATGTTTTACTTTCCAGTTACAGTTGTTGTACAATATTATATTAGTTTCAGGTATACAACCCATTTATATAACTTATGAAGTGATCACCCTGATAAATCTAATACCCACCTTCACCATACACAATTATTACAGTATTATTAGCTATGTTCCCTATGCTGTACTTCATATCCCTAGACTGTTCTGCAACTACCAATCTGTACTTCTTACTCCCTTTACCTTTCTCACCCAGCCCCCTAAACCCCGCTCCCAGCTGGCAACCATCAAAATGCCCTCTGCATCTATGAGTCTGTTTCTGTTCTGTTTGTTCATTTATCTTGTTTTTTTTAGATTCTACATTTAAGCGAAATCAGATGGCATTTGTCTTTTTCTGTCTGACATTTCACTCAGCACAATACCCTCGAGGTCCATCCATGTTGTTGCAGAAGCAAGATTTCATCCCTTTTTATCACTGAGTCATGTTCTATTGTATATACACACCACTTCCTTATCCATCCATCTATTGATGGACATTTAGATGGTTTCCATATCTTGGTTATTGTAAATAATACTGTAATGAACACATAGATGATATTGCCATTTTATTATTCATATTTTTCATCTTTTTCCCCCTATTTCTTAAAGAAGACCCTTTAATGTTTCTTAAAATACTGATTTGACAGTGATGAACACCTTTAGGTTTTTCTTGTCTGAGAGGCTCTTTATCTGCCCTTCAATTCCAAATGATAGCCTTGCTGGGTAGAGTAATCTCAGTTGGAAGTCCTTGCTTTTCATCACTTTGAATATTTAGTGTCAAGAAGCTGGGTAGGCACTGGGGTTCAGGGCGTGGAGCGGGGGCTCCAGGAAGGTCCCACCCCTCAGCAGCCCAGGCAGGTGTCCACCACCGCAGGGCAGCGGAGCATTGAGGTCCCAGCTGGGCCCACTCACTCTGTGACACCAGGCGGGTCCCTCCTGCACAGGCCTATTTCCTCATAAATCAAGCAGAGCCACAAATCCCATTGGATTCAGGGAGGAGCAGTGAATCTTCCTTCTGAGGATGTGGTGGGGATCAGCCATTTCTGAGTGGCCACGGCAGACAGACATCACAAAGCCTGAGAGCTACCACTCGCCGTCCCCCTAGAAGACAGACACTTACTTACTCAGAGACTCAGGACACCCTTTTTGTACACAAGCCTAACACACTGGGACAGAACGCTAGAAGATGACAGGCCAGAGGAGAAGAGACCTCATTGTCGCCGTGCATCTATTGTATATCCATGAGGCATGGGGCTGCGTGAACTCTAAGCACCCTTCCCTAGCGGCTCGGGTTGCAGCAGGAGGCCCAGCCTGATATAAGAAAACCTGAGAGGTTAGAAGGAGATTGGCTTGGGAGGCTCTGCTGAAAAAACCAGAAGGTGGTGGGCAAGTGGGGACAGGAGCGGGGAGGAAGAGTGGGCTGCAGGCTGCGGGCTGCGGGCTTCGGCCCCTAGCAGACCCTGCAACAGCAGGACCAGAGAGCTCCCAGCCCAATCAGGCTCGCGTGACCCCCTGGAACCACAGCAGCTGGGGCCAGCTCCAGGCTCTCTCCCACTTCTGATTTCTTAAAACAAGAAGAGCAAGTAGAGAGCTCTTTGGCAAGTATACAAACACTGCGGAGAAACCATATGTTTTCCTCATTAAGGGAGAGTTGCTGGGAGTATCTCAGGCAGATACTCCAACCACAGATGCTCACGTGCACAGCAGGGCACACCACGGAGACCTCAGACAAGACTCAGGGAGACATGGTGGGCCCCGAACCTCTGAGATATGTGGCAGCAGCCCCCAGTCCTGGGGGCTATGTCCCCATCAGTGGTGTCTACTGCCTGAAGCCCCTGACTGGGTTTGTATCTTTGCAACTGTGGGTTCAGGCGGGCATGGCACCTCTGCATGGCCTCATGAACATAGGGGGCTCACTCCCTTCCCATCCCCAGGGAACCCCCTGGGAAGACTAAGCAGCCTGCTCCTCACTTGCTCCTGAGCTGCTACCCTCAGCCACTGTCATCCTATAAGGAGCCCTGAGGGAGAGGACAGAGAGCCCTGAGAAGACCCCAGAGGACCAGGTCAGGAGGGGGTAGGTCAGGGACAGACAGACAGACAGACATATGAAGGAAGGAAGGAAGGGAGGGAGGGAGGAAGGAAGGAAGGAAAAGGCAAATGAATGAAAAGAAAGCACACAGGAGGGCGAAGCTGGGACAAAGGGGGACCGAACACCACCTGTCCAGTGGCACCTTGGGCTGGGGCTTGGCCACACTCCCCCTTGCTCTTGCTCCGGGACAGTGAGAGAGCAAAGCAAGCCTAATCCTGACAACACCCATGAGGCAGACATTCCAAGAAGCAGACCCAACCGGCAGGGAGGGGGGGTGGTGGGAGGGGCATCCGGCCATGTCTAACCCTGGGGGGGTCAGCAGAAGCCCCCCTTGGGCCACGCTTCCTGGAAGAAGGTCACAAACACCAGCTGGGGTCCTTCTCCATTGCCCCACTGGACCTGGCCTGCCAAACATCAAAAAATCACTCTGCCCTCTGCTGGCCCAGCTCCAGGCCCTGACACAGGGGGGAGAGGCTGTGGGGGAAGTGGTTCTGGCAGTGGTGGGTTTCCCAGGTCCCAGGCCAGGGTGGGACGCTGGCCCTGGGCAGCGCTGAGCGTGCCCCAGCAGGCCAACACTCATATACGGAGCCCCCAAACCTCCTCACCCACACCCCTGGAAGAACACCCTGCCTTGAAGAACTGGCAGGACCTCTCTGCAGGGGACAGCACGGGCCATTGAAATCAGCCTGGGCCAGGCCAGTGACACTGTGGAAGTGCCTTCACTGAGCCTCCTGACTCCTGGAACTAAGAATAGAGTCACATGCCATCTCTTCTCTACCCACACTGTCCTTGTCCGCAGACGCCCACCTGTCCCGTGCACATGCCTGCTGCCTGCATGATGCAAAGGCCCTGAGGCTGCTTTCTTGCTAGAGCCCAAACCCATGTGGCCCCCCATGGCCGCACACAACAAATGTACCTTCTCCACAATATCTTGGGGGTTGGGGGGGCAAGCCACTGCCCACCCCGTACTCACCGTCCAATGTCCGAGCAGACCTTGGAATCAGCAGCGACCGCAGCATGGGCAAAAGCCTGGGGGCTGCAGGAGGAGTGGCGGCCAGAGAGGACCACAGCAGGTACAATGATGGCCAGGGCCAGGCCCAGCCCGAGGAGCACCATGCCGAATGTGACCCCATAACCCTGGGCCATGGCTCTACAGCCCCGGGAGGAGGCTGGAAAGGGAGGCAGGAGGGCGGACAGGCCAGCGGACAGACAGATGCACAGACAGTTACGTGGTTGAATGGACAAGACAATTCGCAGATCAACTCGTTGATGATAGGACAGATAGATAGATGGGGCCAGAGTTAGACAAACAGATTGGTAGACAGGCTAGATAGCTAGAGAGAAGATAGTAAGAGAAGGAGGGTCAGACAGACAATTGAAAAAAGGCGGGATTACAGGGGACAGACAGACAGGTCTGCGGATGAACAGTGGACACCCACGCGGACAGGTGGGTGAACGGGCAGGCGGCTCGTGGCAGCAGGGCTGCCGCGCTCCTCAAGTGTCTGTTCCAGCAGAAGAGCTGGCTGCACGCCTGAACTCCAGCTTTCAGCTCCCGTTCTTGGCCCTGGAAGCAATGCATTCATGGGGAATTTTTCCTTCTAGAGGAACAAGAGGGGGCAGTTAACTCTCTCGCTGCCATTCCCATGGCTTGTCCCAGCAAGCCTTGAGGATATGACCGCCACCCCCCTCCCCCGCCCCGTCAGCCTGCCGGAGCGGGCTCTTCCATAGGCCAGTTCCCACAGCTGCTTCGTGGGGTTGTGAGGGCTGCGGGCGCCTCTTCCTGCCCTACCTCCACCCCCATGGTCCGGTGACATTGCTCAACCAGAAACCGAAGTGCATTCCTGGCCCAGGGCCAAGTCACCCGCCAGGAAGCAGGGACATGGAGGCGGGGTGGGAGAGGATAGGCAGGGTCAAGGGTGGGACAGCCCCCTTCTGCTCCCCAGCCATCCCCGTCAAGCAGAGGCCAGGATGCAGGGACCACAGGACAAAGGTCCAGAAAAGGAATTGACATCACACTGGCCTGGCCAGAGGCGCAGCGAAGGAGGACCAGCCAGGAAGGGCCCTGAATGTCTGTCCAGACGTGAGGATCAGCAGGCAATGGGAAGGAAAGAGAGGGAAAATGACGTCCCCCAACCCCCAAAGGGGCTTTCTGCTGAGCCCCTTTGGGGTCTAGGGAACTGGGGCGCACTCTTCCTTGTGTCAGGGCCCCGGAGCTTCCTGGCCAGCCCCCACTTCCGTCAGGACCAAAGCCCACCCCTCTGGCCTCCGCTGCGAACATGGCCGTGGCCTTTCCTCTGGGACCAAAATGAGGACTAAGGAGTGATGGTCACATTCCCCAAGTCCGGCCTCCATCCCATTCCCAGGGATCCCAGAGAACAGGCCTGAGACTCTGCAGGCACAAAACCTGCTTCCCTGTGGACGCATTAGAAGCACCAAGTGTTTCCACCTGAGGAAGGAGCCAGGCCTGGCCTGTGCTGGCTCCTGCGCTGCTGCCCTCAGAGGCCCCGTCTTGGGCTCACTGAGGGGCATTATCTGACCTCTGGGCTATGACCTGCCCCCCCCACCCCCGCCCACCTCCACCAGCCTTTCCCAGTGCCTCACTTTAGGTGCTACGATGAGTTAGCAGGTCCTGAGGGCGGGTGAGGGACTGGCTCATGGAGGGGGAAACGGTGCTGTGTTCCCCCGGGCCCGCCCTCCCCAGCCACCCGCTGGTTCAAGCCCTGGCCCCCGGGGATCTAGGGACCTTTTCCAGTTCTCTGTTCTGAGAACTGGGCCTCCTGGAGCTGATTGCAGTTTGGGTTTCATTCTGGGTTTGTGCTTGGAAAGCACCCCCGGGGCCTGGCTCTGACCAGCATGTTCTGCTCCAGTCTTTCGCCCAATCCTGCTCCCCAGACCTCAGCTTCACCTCCTTGTGTCCCCACCAGGGGGACCTGGGCACCCGCCAGGCTGAGGAGATACCGGGATCCTAGCCTGTGTGGGTGGCTTCTGCTCGTGAAAGCCGGTGCTATGGCGCCCCCTGATGGCCAAGGTCGGAAGCACGGCTGCCCAGCCCGGGGCCTGGAAGGCCCGGCCCCTGGTGCTGGGGCTCAGGGCGAGGAAGGACAGGGCTTGGCATGGGCCTGCCTTGCGCCCCCTCCCACCCACGGGGCTCCCCACTCTTCCCCACCAGATGGCTCCCTTTTACACAGAATGCTGAGGCCCAGAAAACTGAGAGCCTGCCAGCACCGACGGCCCTGGCCTCCATTTATTGCACTGCTTTGCTGCTCACAAGAGAAGCCCATTCCCCAAAGTCTCAGTCCTGTGTAGGTATCTTGTCACTGGGTTGCGGTCGGCCTTGCCTGCGTGGCACACTCAGTAGCCAGCAGGCTCCCCGCCCTTCCTGGAGTCCGAGGCGGCTGCCCAGCCGTCAGCCGTGCGGACAATGGCCTGCACCACAGCGATGAAGGTGGATATGACCTGGGTGTGGTGGTGCCGGGTCTTCAGGGCCGTAGCCACTGCCTGGGGAGGAGAGGGGAGAGGGAGGCACCGGGGGTCCCAAGAACCCCTCTGAGCCACACACAAGCTTCACAGACGCAGATAAGACCATCTCTGGTAGAGTGGCCAGGAAGAGCAAGTTGGGGGCAGCTGGGCCTGTCGGGTCTCATTGGAACACGTGGCCTGGCCCTCATGGCACAGGGGCTCGAGACGGCCGGGCAGTGGGTGTGAAGGTCACCCGTTCCCGGCAGCAGGCACCAGCCATCATGCACCCCATGATGACCCAGGAGGCCCAGGGGTCCATCTCGGGATCCCCAGTGCCCCCGCACTGACTCGGCCTCCCCACCTCCCGCCCTACCTGGTCAATGTCTTTCTCCAGGGTTGTGGTGTTGGGCAGAAGCTGGTTGTGCAGCCGGGGTTCCTCGACCGCACGCTTCGCATCATAGCCGAACCACAGGCTGTTGATAATGGCCTACGCGGGAGAGTGGGGGGAAGATGGGGTCCGTGTGGCCCGAGGGCAGGGGCTGAGGGGACAGGCAAGTGGCACATACCAATGCAGTGGCTGTGGTGATCTGTGTGCCCCCAGAGGCGCCCACCACCATGAGGACCTGGCCATCCCGGTCCACGATAATCGCTGGGCACATGGACGAGAGTGGCTGCTTCCCTGAGGTCAGTGGGCAGTAGGAGACAGAGATGCTGGTCAGTGGCCTCCCTGGGACACCAGCCCCATCCCCACCCAACCCCCCATCCCACACCTGGCTTGATGAAGTTGGCCGGTGAGGGGAACACCCCAAACTGGTTGGTGATGTTCGGGGAACTGAAGTCGTCCATCTCATCGTTGAACAGGATCCCGCTGACCTGCGATAGCACCTTGGAACCGAAGCTGCAGGCCCGCTGAGTCAGACGGCTACGCCCTGCCCGGCCCGGGCTGGTCCCCACCCACCCACCCACCGCAGCTCCACCTTGTATCCCATGAGGTCCAGGGCAAGTTCCTACCAAGGTGGGGACTCAGTTTCCCACCATGAAAGGGGTCGATGGAGCCCCGCTTCTGAGACATGGGGGCACCCCCTGGCCCACCCAAGCCACCTGGAAACACCTACTAGAGGTTGATGGTGCTGGTGGCTGACACAGCGCTGCCATCCTCTGCAACCACGGACAGGTGGGCGGTGCCTCCATCATCTGGCGTGTAGTACTCAGGCTCATAGTAGGAGGTTGGGTGAGTGGTGTCATCGGAGATCCGGCCCCGGAGTTGGGCAGCAAAGAACTCGGAGCTCATGTTTCGGACCACCTGCCGAGACCCCAGAGTTGTCCTGAGGAGGCGGAGGGGTGGGAAGGGGCACAGGCTTGTGCAGGCAGCTCCCAGGGAGCCCCCAGCCATGGCTCTGACCACAAGCCTCCTACAGCCTCAGCCTCATGTGGCCCGTGGGCCCCCTCTCACCAGCCTCTGTCTCCGCTGCAGTCCAGCAACTCTGAATGTCTGTCTGTTTGTTCCCCAAGCCTCCGCTCTAGCCACACTCATTATTCATGGAGCTTGCACTGCGTGCCTGGCACGGGAGGATCAGTGGGGAACAGACAAGCAGGTCCCCACCCTCATGGCAGAAGGCAGTGACTTAAAGCCATGAGCCTGGATGGGCAGACAGAGAAGGACACACTCAGAGAGGAGAGGAGGAGAGAAGGGAGGAACCAGCAAGGACAACCCTTGGGGACCTAGCAGAGGAAATGCCTCCAGAAGGTTCCAGCAACACCCCTCAGATTAACTGATTAATCCAGGGGGGAAAGTTATAGCCTCAATCTACTTCCAAGGAAACAAAGTCATATCCAGGATGTGGACCATTCTGCAAGAAAACTGCCCTGGGCTTTAAAAATCCGCAAGAGAACCAAGGGGGCCATTCTAGGTTAAGGGGCTGGAGAGGCAGAACAGCAACGGCCAGTGCAAGCCCCACAGGTCCTGAGCCTTAACTCACTGGGAGCCGTACACAGGCATCTAACAGGTCAGGTGGCTCGAAGTATGCAGGAAAAGTCCTCGCTCAGGAGACACAATTTGAAGTGTGATATCTGCAACTTATTCTCCATGGACTCAGAACAAAACACAGGTGGCAATGGTGGAGGCAGACAGGAGAGGGCTCCAGAAGCGATGGAGCAGGCCAGGTTTGCTCTGAGGGAAGCAGAGGAGTAACACGGAGGTGGGGCGGCGGGGCGGGGGGGGGGGGGGGGGCGGAGTGGCTGGAGTGACAGCAGCACACGCTGCTCAGTGACCACCAGAAAGGGCGGGAGGCGGCTCAGGAGGCAGAGCAGCATGTTGGAAGGGCGTGGCTGAGCCCGTGAGTGGGTGAGCAGAAGGCCCGCCTTACCCGGGGGGAGGGCAGAGCGGGTCACCATGTGGTGGCTTCCATGACCTTAGGGATACAAGGCGCCAGGTCACTGCGCCAGGTGGCTACGGTGGGGAGTGGGGGTACAAAGTGGTCACCAGGGAGGAGAAAAAGCCTGGGAGGCCAGAGGGGCTCGGGGCAGCTGAGGCCCCTCCTGGGAGGGACTGGTCTGCACCCTTCCTCTCTTTGCCTAAAAGTGCAATCTCATCTGTGGCTCAGGCATTGCCTCCTCCAGGAAGGCCTCCCAGATCTTCACTTAGTGCTTCCTCAGCCCTGACTCATGCCTATGCCTGCATTTACCACCCTGCCTGCCCACACACTCAGAAAGCTGGGTGGGAGGGCTTTCTCTCCCAAAGAACCTCCACCTCCAGAACTGGGGGTCCAAGTAGGTAAGGAGGGATGTGAGGGGGTCACAGTGGAGGCCCGGCCTGGAGCTGGGGCAGCCAGTGGTGAGTGGGTCGGGCAGTGCAGGGCCTGGGGGCGGATCTGGAAGCCTAAGCTCCTGAGTGTGACCAGCTCGCAGGTGGCCAAGGCCTCTGCCCCCTGGAACGCCAGTCCTCTCCTCTAGCCCATCCTTCTCATCACCCCTGAGGGCTACGCCACCCCCTGCAGGCCTCACCTCAGCACTGACTGATCAAGAACCTTCCAGGCTGAGGGCACAACATATGCAAAAGCCTGGAGGCAGGAGTGTGGGGGAACAAGGGGGCTCTAACTGCTCATTGTCAAGTCTGTCACACTGTGAGCTCCCTGGGACAGAGGCTCAGATTCGGAGTCACCAGTCCATCCCATTACATAGTAGGCCTGCCACCAAAGTTGGTGAACATGAATTAATGAAGCAGGCAGGGGGCTTTATTAATCCATGTAGAATCCCAGGGAACCCCTCAACACCTCCGCAACTGGCCCCCCACCCATCAAGGGCCAGCCCCTGTCCCTTACCTCAGTCACATTGACAAACTTGGGGTCCCCGAGCAGGGTCCGCTTGGCGTAAGCGAACCGGAAGGCCTCCACGATGCGGTGGTAGGTCAGGCCCTTCTCCTTGGGTGTCTCCACGCTCGCCCGGGAGAAGTTGTATCCTGATGGCAGAGCCGGGCAAGTGTCAGCAGCCACAGGGTCCTCAGGACATCCCGGCTCAGCCGAGACAGCTGGGTGCCTGGAGTGGACTCATGCCTCCCTGAACCACCCGGCCCACCTTATGAAGAAGAACACTTTGCCCTGGCTGCTGTGGCTCAGTGGACTGAGTGCCACCCCGCGAACCAAAGGGTCGCTGGGATGGCTCCCAGTCAGGGCACATGCCTGGGTTGTGGGCCAGGTCCCCAGTAGGGGTTGCCAGAGAGGCAACTGCACCCTGAATGTTTCTCTCCCTCTCTTTCTCCCTCCCTTCCCCTCTCCCTAAAAATAAATTGAAAAAAAAAAAAAAAAAAAAAGAACATTTAATAACCAGCAGCAGTGGCTGCTTCAAGAAGGCAAGGCACCGCTGGGCCTGGGCCTCGCACACCCAGCCAGAGGGATGCCTGGTCTGCTCGGCCCAGACGATCTTCTGGCATTGGGTGTCTGCGAAAAGCCAGGCCCTGTTGCCCTTGGCCCCACTCCCAGGACACTGTTCCCCACCTCTCTCCCTCCCCGCAGGGCCTGGTCACTCAGCACTGGCCCCTGTAGGGCCGCGGTGGGTGGCTCACCCTGGAGGATGTTGAGGATGAGGGCCAGCACAGGCCCGCTGAGAGGGGCGCTGGGCACATAGAGCCGGGCGTCCCCAAGGCTGATGCTCAGGGGGTGCTCGATCAGCTCCGCGCGGTAGTTGTTCAGGTCCTTGGCAGTCACAATGCCCCCTGCAACCAGACAGCAGCTCCATGGCAGGGAGCGGACACCAGGATCGGGCTGCACTACTGGGGGGCAGGGCTGCCATTTGATGAGGATGGGGGCGCACCCCCAGGGGGAGCCTGTCCACCCTGCAGGGCTGCTGCCCCTTCACCTCCACACTGGCCGACCCTCCAGCGCCTCTGTCCTCCCAGAGGGTGCCACCTGCCCCTGGTCAGCCCAGACCAGCTGTCCTTGACCTGCTTGTCCCGCTGGCCTCCGGGTCGGCCATCTCTCTTCTCCGGCAGCCAGGGAGTCTTCGCTAAGTGGAAACAACCTGCTCATCTCCCCCTGCCCAGCCCCCTCCTGTGTCTAATCGGTGGGGAAAGGGAGGCTCCTAATTCTCTAGGGCTCCAGACAGACGAGTATTTACAAGCTCATTTCCAGCGTCAGTGGTAAAGGTCAAGGTGCCAATCACCCTCCTCCGTGACACACTGACAAAAATAATATATGAAGAAGACCACAGCTCAGGGAGAGAGCAGCAGCCTTGGGCTCCATCAGAACCTGCCCCATAAGGTTCCAACCACAGGACCCTGCATGCAGACTCTCCAATGTCTCTCTCACCAAGCCCACGCTCATCCCCTGTGGTCTTCCTGGAGAATTAACCAACCCCCTTCCAGGCTTTAGCCTGTACCCTCCCCCAGAAACACCCTTCCTCTCTTTGCCTATAAAGTGCAATCTCATCTGTGGCTCAGGCATTGCCTCCTCCAGGAAGGCCTCCCAGATCTTCACTTAGTGCTTCCTCAGCCCTGGCTCATGCCTATGCCTGCATTTACCACCCTGCCTGCCCACACACTCAGAAAGCTGGGTGGGAGGGCTTTCTCTCCCGAACTGTACCGTCTCTCTCAGCTTTGACCTAGCCAGGAGCTCTGGACCCATGGCCTGTCACTGACTGCAAACCCATCTGCGACCCTCCCCTCCCAGGAGCTCCTACTGGGCCCCAGCTCAGGGTCCTTTCTACGAAGTTCCTCACCCCAGATCCCCGAGGTCCCCCACTCACCGGCTGCCTGGATGTCCTTGACAATCTGGGCCGTGAGACTCCCATTGTAGAAAGCCTGGGCGCCCTCGGAGGCCAGCGTCTCATACGTGTCAGCCAGACGGGGCATGGTCACTCTGTCCCCCTCTCGCAGCACCTTCCCGCCCCGGCAGAACACCTCGCTGGGGCAGAAGAGGCTCCCGTGAGGCAGGCAGGTGTGGTGGACTTAGCCAGACCATCCCCACAGCCACCCAGCACGGGGAAACAAGGACAAAGGACAGCCAACTCCTGCCCACAGGCAGTGGCCTTGTCACTCAGGGCTCATCCTCCAGTGTCCAGCTCAGGCCTCCTGGAGTTCCCTGCTACTCAGGATACACAGGCCAGAATCCCAAGCACCAGGCTCGGAGTGTGTCCCCACGCATGATGGGAAGGGGCTGGCATCTCCAAGGAGCCTGTCCCTCCATCAGCACAGGTTCCTGGAAGCGCTCCATCAGCTAGCCACTCGCGGCCTGCAAGGCTGGGACCTGCCTGCCTCGCCTGTGCCCAGGGGCGGGCCGGCACGGGCGGACGTACCACAGGGCGGGCTGCCGCTCAATGGCAGCGCGGCTCCTCTCCAGGGCTGCCGCCAAGCCCTTTCCCACGGGGAAACCCTGCCGGGCCAGCTGGATGCTGGGCTGGAAGAGGCGAGCCCAGGGCAGCCGCCCGTGTCGCCGGTGTGCCAGCTCGTAGCCACGGATCTCACCAGGAACTGCCACCGACAGCCCCCCTGCAAAACGAGAGGGACACAATGGTGCCAGAAAAGGGACATTAGGGCCTCTCTCAGGCATCATCCCAGGCACCCCAGATGGGACCAGTGAGGCTTAGGAAGGAAATAGATTTTGAAATCATATCTGGATTTGGCAGGCAAGACTGCAGATCGGCCAGGGACGTCTAATGGGGCACGAGAGGGCCAGGTGGTAGTGTGTGCGTGGGGTTTTGCTGTCCCAGGCCTAGATGTCTCTTTCCGCAGGAGCCACCATGTCTAAAATCCTGTGCCAGGCTCGCAGGGGCACAATGAGGCTGTGGGGAGGCTGGACACGTGCCATCTCTCAGTCTGAGCCCCAGTCCTCACAGCCTCTCATCCCACAAGACTCAAGGGCTCCACCAGAACCTGCTGAAGTTCCCCATGCAAACCCAGGCCACCCTCAAGCCTGGGCCAGTCCTGAGGCAGGGGCCTCTTTTCTATTGTCCCAGCTAGGACCTGCTCCCAAATCCTCAGCCCGTTCCCTCTCTGGACCTGTTTTCCCATCTGACCATAGAGAGTTGTTTGTCTTCCTGCTCTGAACTTCGAGGAGCCCGTGACTGTACTGGAAACAGGTCCTGGGCCCCTCTGCCCACCGCGTCCTAAGCTGGCACTGACAGAAAGCTTCTGCCACAGCCCCCACCCTTAGGCCCCTCCTGCTTTCCCCCCTGAGGTGATCAGGGTCATTTCAGCAGCACCCAGGCTCGGTTCCAAGGGCTCAGTGGTTACAACATCTGTCTCAGGTCTGATACCCAGCACATAATGCCTCCCACCTGAAATAAATGCTGCCATAACCTCAGGCCAATCAGATCCCACAGCAGCCCGCTCACTGAGCTCACAGGGACCCCCACACTGCCAGACCAGGCCTCGCCTCGCCTGGCCTGATCCATCACTCGCCGCTCCTGCGTCACCTCTGTGTCACACACGCCTGGCTCTCCTCACTTCTCCCCACCCTCTCCTCTGTCTACACTCCCTCTCTTGGTGATCTGCCCCAGATCAGGCCTTTGGGTTCCATTTATATGCGGACAACTCCCAAATCGACTCTGTGGCCTGGCGTGCTCCCTGAGGGTCAGATCTGGGGGCATACCAGCCCGTCAGAAAAAGCCATCTCAAACTTAACACACCCAACACCCAAATTCTGACTGTCACCTTGACAGTCTCTGCCAGGGCCTCCCTGTCCTTCCAGGTGCAGACTGCAGACCCTCGGTTGTCAGGACGCCCAGCGCACGCGCCACACCCGCCCCGCCAGCAAATCCACAGCAAGCTCCACCTCCCATGTGTGTTCAGCAGCAGCCACCAACCACCACCCTCATCTCTCCCTGATCAGACCACCCAGACCCCCTGATGGATCACCTGCTGGGCAGGTGGCTTGCTTTCTGTCCCTTCCACAGAACCCAAGAAATCCCATCAGACATGGGCCAGATCCGCCACACCCCCACACTAAAACGGGAGCTATTCCTCAAGCTGGGGTCCTGACCCCTGGGTAGGGGACACCTCTACCTCTCTCGGATAAGAGGCACGGTCTTCTCAGTGACCCACAAGGCCTGACGCAACCTGGGCTGCTCTGTCTGACCCCGTGTCCTCATCTTCCTCCCAGACCCCCATGCAGCTTCCCCCACCCCACCCCCATCTCAGCATCTTTGCTCCGATGCCACCTCCCTGAACAACCTGGCCGCCCCTGGTGAATCCGCGCACACTCTGGCTTCTGCTTTCCCAGCAGCATGTGGCACACCCCTGCGTGCTCAGCCCCTTTTCTGCACCTGAAACATTGGCCTCGCCAGGCCATGGATTTCATCTGTTGCTTTTCTTTCGGGCCCCAGCTTGAGGAACAGCCCCTGACGCTTCAGGGGTAGCCAGTAAGTCCTAGTTATTAAATGAACCCCCAGTGCCCACAGGATGCTTGGTCCTTAAGATTCTAGCAACCTTACTCTAATTTCATTTCTACACATTTTGAGTTTTTCAATGGGTAAAAATTCAAAGCTTCTGCACTTTGGAGAGGACTCTAAAGGGGCTGTTCATAGTCGCAGTAGGGGAGCAGACTAGCTATGGCCCACGTGCCTGCCCCTCCTCCTCTTGGACCTCTTTTCCTGTGATCCGTGTGATCCATTTGACCGGACACCCTGCCATTCACCCCCTGCCCCTGACCGGGGTTGGGAGTCGGGAAGTGTGAGTCCTCAGAGCAGCACCCCCTGGTGGCCACTGGCTTCCCCTTCAACTGCTTGCAGATTTGGGGCAGGGTGGCGGGGGGGTCTCCTCTTTGCTTATGGCCAGAGTAGAAAACAGAAACTGCCCCCACCCCTGCCCCATATTCATCCTCACACATGAATAAATGAGTGACTTGGAGACCTGTGAAAAATGCAGGGTTTTGACAGCTGGCTTCATCACCACAGAGCTTGTGACCTCAGCTGGTTTGCATGACTTCCCTGGGACCCCGTGTCCCCACCCATAAAATGGGAACCAGCACAGCGCTCCCCTGGCTAAGCGTACAGGGAGGATCCAAGGGCCTCATCGGTGGAGAGGTTCTGAGCGGAGTGCGGGCCCCAGTGCCGCCAGGGATGGCAAGCTGTCGTAATGATAATTATTCTCTCTCTGTACCCGCACAGGGTGGCCCTGGAGAGGCCTGAGCAGAAACAACAGCTCTGTCCCTTCACTCTCCGTGATGATGGTCTTGACCATTCATTTTGGAGGATGTGATGGGACTGGGAAGAGATGGGAAGGTGGGACATCAGTGACTGCCAGAGCTGTCCCTAGCCCCTTAGGGGCGCCTTACACCTTCCCGTCCACGCCCTGAGCCTGCCCCTCACCTTCCCGCGACTGCTCCGAGCTGTTGAACATGTTGGTGGAGGCCCGCTCAGGGGCCACCTCCCGGGCGTTGATGACCTCCGCTTTCCCTGGAAGGAGAAGCAGGTGGGCAGGCTGGACCGACGTGAGACCGGGGGCCACCCACCCAACCGTGCTCGCCCCAGCCCAAATCCAGGCTGAGGCAGACACCCTGCCATTCACCCCCTGCCCCTGCAGGCACTCACGCGTGGTGCTGTTGTAGATGGTGAGGAACAGGCCGCCCCCGATGCCCATGCTGTGGGCGTTCATGAGCCCCATGCAGAGCAGGGCCGCGATGGCGGCGTCTACCGCCGAGCCGCCCTCCTGCAGCATGTCCCTGCCCACGGCACGTGGATGGGAGTGAGAACCTGCGGGCTCCCCAGCCCCACCTAACCCTGCCGCCCAACCTCCACCCCTGTCCGCTTAGGTCCAAGGAAAGGATGCCCCTTGCCCAGGCAGCCCATGTATAGGTAGGGAAACTGAGTCTGAGAGGGCAGGGTCTTGCCCAGGTCCACTTGCGGCGGTTGTCCTCCAGGGCCGCCCCCACACCCTGCCCCACTCACCGCCCGATCTCCGAGCAGTGCTTGGCGTCTGCGGCCACGGCTGCCCTGGGGTACACGTGGCTGGGCGGCCTGGAGGTGTAGGGCAGCCAGAGGGAGAGGCCCATGATGATGAGCACCAGGGCTGCAGCTAGCAAGGCCGCCACCACGTAACGCTTCTTCATGGTCCTGCGGGCAGGCAGAGGGGGCGGGGAGCGGGGTCAGGGAACCGTGCCAGCCTGGCCTCGGGCACATCCTGATCCTCACCCCCACGGGGCGCAGCCCAAAGTCAAGCCTCTGAAAGGTCCCTGCGTTTTCCCTGCCTGCCGCCCGGAACACGTGTGAGTCAGGTCACTCTGCCAGGAGCCCCTGGTCCCACCTCTGCCCTCCCCTATCCTCCCTGCCCGGTGAGAACCCCATCTCTAAGAGCAGGGGCCCCTCCTGGGAGCCCCCAGATTTGACATGAACCTGTTTCTGCAGCGCCCTGTCTGCCTCTGCCCGGGGACTGAGCCCTCCACTGCCACTAGGTTGCTCTAGAAGGGACAACTGTGGCCTGCTTTCTTCTGTGTCCCCACGTCATCTCAGAGCTCAGCACTGTCCATGGGGCCCCCAGAGCGGCCCGCCACAGAGTGTAGAGTTCAGCTTCCATCGCGCCCTCAAAGGGGACACCTGCAGCCCCTCCTGAATCATCGGATCGGCCACCACGGAGCAGGGGCCTGCCGTCCTGGACGGGTGGGAGCCCTGAGCTTTGCCTGGGGAGGTGGCCACAAAAGCTGGGAGAGTTTGGCTCAAACAGCTGGTGGCATAACTGGGGAAGGGGGGTCTCTCTCTCTCTCTCTCTCACTGCAGGCGGCTGCACCACAGAATCTGCTCCAGAGAGGTGCCCCGGCCATGTCGGTGACAGGGTATACCTGAAGCAGGCCCAGCCCTTCCCTGGGAGCTCTGGGAGGTTTCTCTGCCTCCAGACGAGCTCTGGAGTCAAAGGGGAGGCCGTGAGCTGCGCACGTGTTGGCATGAATTCTCCTAGCATTCCTTCTCCCCTGCAGGGCTGAGAGGGGGTTTGCACAGAGCAAGGCAGGGAGCGGCAGGCCCTTCCGTACAAGGCTTGCTGGGCGGTGTGCCATGTGACCAAGTGGTGGCGCCTCGCTGAGAGTGGGGGAGTGGGGGGCGGACGGGTCCTGGAGCCCGAGGCTCCATCCGAGCCTCGACTTTCCCCTTAGCTGCTGTGGGGCCTTGGGCAAGGAACCGACAATCTGTCCCATGGGAACGACAGAGGCAGTCCACTCGGGGATGCTGTGAAGATGAAGCGGATTGGAAAGTGTGCAACGCCAGGTAAAGGTTGGCCACGCCAGGTGATGCTGGGGGTGCCCCGCAGGCCTGCAGGCGGCAACTGAGAAGCTGCTCGGCCTCTTCCCCAATTTTTGCCCCGTTGACTTCCTTCCAGGCTGTGCTGAGAGTGACAGCAGTTACCCTTAAGGTCCCCGTGGTAGTGGCAGCAGATGAGGGACATGACCCCAACAGGGAGGAGAGGTAAGGTGACAGAGGCGCGGGGTCTCCCTCTCCCGGAGTCAGTTCCCTCCGAAGGGCAGATGTCTGTCGGGGACCTCCAGGCTGGGGCCCCCCTGGCTCACCTGTCCTCGTACTGAGAGCCCGAGGTGGTGACCCAGAGATGGCCTAGAAATGGAGCCCCCGCCCCGTGTGGGGGACATCCAGAAACCATCGTGGAAGGGCTTTCTCCTCCCCCTGCTGAGCGGGCGGTCACACAGCAGACCCCGCGTCCCCAGTGGGACTGCAGCCGCCCTCCGCTCCACCTTGACAGAATCTGGGCGCCAAGCTTCCGGCTGCACTCCGCACAGCCCCCTCCCCCGCCATTTCCTGCTCTTCAGTTCTCCGAAAAGCTGGCATAGGGCTCTCTCCAAAGTGCCAGCCAGGCCCTGCCCCTCGCTAAGGCCCCCAGGGACAGTCCATGCGCTCTGCCCTCCGCCTCTGCCAGGCCTGGCCACCCTCAGGACACACCCTGAGCCCTGTCGGGGAGCTGGCTGGGGCTGAGGGCTCCTGGTAGAGACAGCTGCGCTGGGAGGTCTGAGGGTCCTCAGGAGCTGACCGGCGCCACGCAGCGTCTGCTTGGGACCCAGCGCTTTCCCATCTCACGCGGTGGGGCAGGACTGGATAGGACAGGGGCCCCCACCAGAGTAGGCCGTGCTGGGTACCTTGGGGGCATGGCCTCATTTCTCCTGGGATTGGGGCCCTCCTCTGTCTCATCAGGCCCCTGGGGTGAGCAAGCCATGACTTCCTAAGGACCACGCTCCAGCTGCCCCTGTCCGCCCATCTGTCCATCCACCCACGCAAGGGCCCAAGTGGGCTTCCCGAGGCACAGGGGTACCCGAGAGGCTTAGACTTCCAGGGTGTGTGGGGAGGGAGTGGGAGGCGCTGTCCCGCACCCGCCCCACCCCCCGTCCTCACCCCCCCACGTCCCCCAGGGCAGGACAGCAGGGGGGCCTGGCTCAGCCCCCAACAGGCAGACATATCCTGCGTTTCAGGAGACACCCTGCTGGGGGACTGGGCTCCCATTTCCCACGCCCCACCTCAGGTTTTTCCCAAAGATTCAATAAACAATGGCCAAGCCCAAACCCCGGGTTCCCACATATCAGTATGAGAAAGGGAAACCAAGGCCAGAGGGGGGATTGGACACAGTGCCTGGCCTCAAACCCTAGCCCAGCTCCCTAGAACCCTGGTGGGCTTACCTGAGGCCCAGGGGCATCTGGGGCCCAGAAAACCTCCTGCTCCTCAGAAAACAGCTCTGGGCTGGGGCACAGCAGGGGAGAAAGAGGCAGATTTGTCTGCCTGGGAAAGTCTCAGCCACATCGAGGCTGGCTTCCCACTCCCTGGGAAGCCGGCTGTGCTGGGAGGTCTGAGGGACCTCAGGAGCCGGAGCCACGCCCACAGCTCCTGCAGAGCTGTTCAGGGGGGCCTTCGCACTGGGACCGAGATCTGGGGATGGGCATCTCCAAGGGGGAGCAGAGGCAGGGGGGCTGGGGGAACTCGCATGCTCACCTAGTTTCAGAGGGGACGAGAGGGCAGCCAGGGGCGCCCAGCACTCCCGTGGGGCCGCTGAGGCGTTTGAGTGGGGTGGAGCAGGTGGTCCTTTGAGGGAGGTCCAGCCTGGCAGGGAAGAAGGTCAAAGGCTCACCTTGCGTCAGCAAGAAGGCACGGTGACTCGGCCTGTCATCAGGTGACTAAAGTTCATGAGGACGTGGAAGGCGCTGTCAGGTGACAGCCATGCCTCTTGGAGTCCCCATGGCAGTGACAGCAGGGGAGGGCGCGATCCCACGGGGAAGGACTGGTGCGGTGACAGAGGCGGGGGTTCCCTCTGGGGCTCAGACCTTTCTAAAAGGCCAGCTACCAAGAGCCCCTCGGGGATCGGCGCCAGGCCCAGGGGCCCGGAGGGGCTCTTGAGGCAGCACAGCAGGAGTGCGCCCAGCGCCGGGCCTGGGACGCCTCGCCGCACCCACGGCCCTCAGCCTGGCACCAGGGGGTCTCTTGAAAATGCAGCCCGGGGCCCCGGGTCAGAGCCAGTTCCATCGTCTGTCCAGGAATACTGTTGCCTCAGGCCCAAGGAACCGCCTGAACAGCCTGCAGAGGCAGGGCCCAACCTGCGCCAAGTTGCTGAGTGTCCCTGACCAGCCCACCAAGGACGTCCTCAGTCAGGAGTGGCTCTGGCCTGGCCCCGGGAACCTTGGACACTACTCCCCTCTTCCCCATGCTGTTATCTGCTCAGGGCAAGGACAAGGATCTGCCGCTTCCTCAGCTGTGGCTCCCACCGAGCTCCCTAGCCAGTTGTGTCTAAGCTGCTGGAAGCCCCCAGAGCCCGCCTCTAACATTGAACCCGCAACCGCCCTCCTCGGCTGCGCCCTCTCATAGACGGGAGCTATCGGAGCTGAGCAGACAGTGCTGCCTGCCCTGGGTCACACAGCCCAAGCAGACCTCGTTCTGCCGCCTCCTGCCCTTGAGCAGGGCAGAGATGCTAAAACTGAACAGTTTGCCTGGGCATCACCCCAAAGGCAGATCAGACTGACTGGGAAAACGAACAGGGAAGGAGCCAAGGCCCAAAGCCCAGGACGTATCCCCAGGGGCTGGACACCAGCCAGGAACGCAGGGGATTTGGCCCTGCCTGAGTGGCTCATTGCGGGGCGGTCAGCTGGGAGGGTCTGCATGGCGGCCATAGGGCTGTGTCCCCAGCCTGAGCCTGCTCAGCAGTTTTCTCCTTCCCTGGGATGGCGTGAGAGCAGCAGCAGCAGCTGCAGCAGGAGAAGAAGAAAGTCTGCGTGGGCAGAGGGTGGCCCAGCCCCCACAGGTGACCCCAACAGGGAAACCCTGGGCGCAGGGAGCTGCCTGCCATGAGGCACAGCCATCTGTGCCTGCAGCAGCTGTGGGTCCCGGGGAGGGGGGACAAGAGGGAAGGCGGCTCATCAAAGGCCATGTTAACAGAAGCATGACATACAGAACAGAGAAAGCCCCTTCTCAGTGTTGAGCAAGTCACATTCTGTCCTGGTCCGCCTCCCCTAACATACAGAGAGGCGGCCCGGGGGGAATGGGTCAGGGAGAGCCATGTCATCCCAGGTAAGGCTTCGGGGGCCAGGCTGCAGGTCTTCTGCAGTCCCTACGCCTCCTGCCCTGGGCACAAAATGTGGTGAGCTCCCCATCCCCAAGGATGTGCAAGTCTCACCGCCCCCAAAGAAACTAACTGCCATTAGCACTGCCCCCTCGCGCACACACACTCACCCCCGAGCCGAAGTTAGGTTGAACCTCACGAGTCCCCAGGACACGGCAGAGACGGGCATGAGGAAGAGGGAGACAGAGCAGCCAGCCCGGGGTTTCTCTGTCAATCCTTCAGCCCAGACTGATGGCTGTGCCATCGCAATCCCAGAGCCGCAGGGTTGAAATTGGGCCACAGCCCCAAACCCGTTAATAAACAGGAAACTGAGGCTTAGGTAGGAGCAACCTGGCCAAGGTCAGATGGCCCCCAAAGCCGCATGGACCGGGAGATGGACCCAGGACCCACTCTGCTGGCCCCACCACAGCCTGCCTGCAGCGAGGGGCCACCTACCTCAGGTATGAGAGAGAACCCAGGTCCTGGCGGCTTCCTTAGCCCTGGACAGGAAGCGTCTCAGAGTCGGGATCGCTCTCCC